CTAGTCCACCATCTTGCCGGAACCCAGCACCATTAATTTTTCCATTGAAGAGAAGGGATGGCAACCATTATTTATTTATTTATCTTTGTTGTGATCGTAAGTTTTTTTGTTTTTTAAATTATATACTTTTTGTTGAGAATATACACAGCAAGAACATACACCAATTCAGGTTTTTACATGTGCAATTCATTGATATTGATTAGATTCTTTGAATTGTGCAGCCTTTCTCACTCTTCTGCATTGCTTCTCCCCCAGTAATATAAACTCACTACCCCTTAAAGTTACTCTCCTTTGAGTTGCTGTTGTCAGTGTGATTTCATATAGATAGATCTTGAAAGGGCAGACATTCTTTACTAGTTTAGCTAAACTATTGTATGGCTTTAAGACTTCAGGGATATTTTTGGTAAAAGGTTTAAAGATTCTTGGGCAGTAGTTTTGGGGGTTCTTTCAGCCTCTGTGGATCCAGAAAGTCTGGATTCCACGAGAATTTGAAAACCTGTTCTTCATTTTCCCCTTTTTGTTCTGGATTCTTCTATAGAATCTTTGATCAACCCTGAGGGTTTTTTAAGCAGCGGGTTGCATAATCTAATGTGTGTTTAAATACATGAATTGGAGGGGCATGTGTGGAAATGAAGAGACCAGATAGGATTTTGTTGCATTAGTCCAGGTGAGAGATACTGGTAACTTGAACTGGGAGGTATGAGTGGAATACAAGTGAATGGATTAGAGATTTATTTTAGAGGTAAAATTGGCTGAAGTTGGCATAATGACTTAAATGTGATATAGGGAGAGTAAGATGTCAGGGATGATTCCCACATTTCTGGTTTGTGCAACTTGGAAGAAGAATGGATTTAAAGAGAAAGATTAAGGTTTTTGTTTGGAACAGGTTAGGTTTGAGAGTTAAATGGAGCTGTTCTGTAAGCCATTAAATATATGATCCTGATTCTCAGAACATAGGTCTGGGATTGAGATAAAATTTAAAATCATGTACAGCTTTAAATATCTAAATTCAAATATCTGTTACTAAATCCTATGTGAAAACATGCTAGTGGAGATGCTGAGTAGAGCTTGGGAGAATGATCTGATCAGTTATAAGTTGGTAGCAGTTAGCTAAACATGGTAGGTTTAGCTATTGGGTGTATGTAATCAAGCACAGAGGATGTAAAGAGTGAGAAAAAAAAGGCTTAAACCCAAACCTCAAGGAATGCTAGTAATTAAAAGATAGCAAAAGAAGCAAAGAGTCCCTGCTTGATACAAATGGTGATTGTGCTTGGTTGCTAACCAAAAGGTTGGAGGTTCACATCCACCCAGAGGTGCCTTAGAAGAAAGGCATGGAGACCTACTTCTGATAAACTAGCCACTGAAAGACCCTGTGGAGCATAGGTCTACTCTGACACACATGAGGTCGCCATGAGTTGGAATCAACTTGATGGCAGCTGGGTTTTTTTTTTTTTTTTTTTAAGAGGAAGTAGAACGTGCAAAAGAGACTGAGATGCCATGGCCAGGGTAGGAGGTAGAATATGGTATCACAGAAGCCAATGAAAGAGCATTTTAAGTTAGAAGAATAGGACAATAGCATAAAATGCTGCTTGCTGACTCAAGAAGAGCCCTTTTCAAAGGGCACTTTAAATTTGGTATGAAGTAAGTCATTTCATTGACAACAACTGGTTTAGTAGTTTAAGTCATTTTATTAGAGGGATGTGGGCTGGTAATAGATCAAAGTGAATTGAGTGGTTGGGAAACCAAGAAAGCGGTCCCCTAGAAACCGAAGAGTATGGGGAGAATCTTAAAACAGAATCAGAAAGAAGATTGTTATGGATTGAATTGTGTCCCCACAAAATGTGTTAAAACCCTAACCTCTACAACCTTTCCTCACAGGGAAAGGAGACAGCAGATGTAGACAGCATTTGAAAAAAGTTTGGTTGTAAAGGAGAGAAGATATGTGGGTGGGGTCAAGTGAGATTTCGTTTAAGATGAGATGAGAAAGATTGAAAATTAGAGGTATAATCAGCAGCACAGTCTCCATGAGAAGACAAGGTAATGAGAGCCTCAGCCTACCTTTGTGATGGGGAGGGAAGGAGAGACGTTAATATCTTGTGGACAAGGTGATTTATGTTTTCTTCTGTCTTCTGTTTTCTCCATGAAGTTAGAGATTAGGCTATTCACAGAGCATTTTGTAGGAAATGGTGTTTTCAGAGTTCATAAAGAGTAAAGAAGATGTGAAGTAGACAGTGGAGAATGGGAGAGAGAGAACTGTCCATAAAAAAGAGAAAGCTTTCTGGACTGCATTGAGGGTCCACTTGGGCTTTGAGACCAATGAATTCACAATGATACTTTTCCCGATTGTGTGATTTTTCTCCAGTGGTGTTTACTAGTACAGCATATGGGTAGGGAGGGTCAGTGCATTGACCAAGGACGGGAGATTTCCTCTGGCGACAGTAATAGATATTAAGTTGGCAGAGTGGAGTGTATAGTCAAAATACCAGAGATGAAGTTGAAATGGAGCATGGGCTTTAAGCTCGATAGAGAATTAATTCTGTAGAGTACTGACATATTTTGGACCCTACATTCTCTTGAATCATTTTAGTGGAATCCTACTATATTATCAAGTTATTCTGCAATTAGAATTTCTGTGCAAATTCACTTGCTGTACCAGTCTAGCTATTGTTGTAATCCACATTTTAATTGTTGTTGTTCGTTGCCATCGAGTCGGCTCCAACTCATAGTGACTCTTTGTAAAACAGAACGAAACACTGCCTGGTCCTGTGCCAGCCTCACAATTCTTGCTGTACCTGAGCCCATTGTTGCAGCCACTGTATCAGTCCATCTCGTTGAGGGCCTCTCCCTTTTTCGTTGACCTTCCACTTTACCAAGCATGATGTCCATTTTAATTACGTGCTCACATATTCCAAACACTACTTCATTAAATCATAGTCACAATCAGTAAGAATATAATTTGCAGAATTTGTGAGTGTATTTTTCTAAAACATATAAATCTGATTTGTTTATAGTGTGAAACTGCAGCACAACAGGAATTTGCTGAAGAACTTCAAAAGCGAGAACATTTTTTAGCTGAACGAGAACAGCTGCTTTTCAGACATGAAACTGCCTTGAGTAAAATTAAAGGTGTTGAAGAAGAAGTTCTTACACGATTTCAAATTATAAAGGAGGTAACTATATAGCATTTTTTTTTGTTAGAGTAGCATAATTTCTCTTTTTCTTCTTAGTTTAGATTTACCAGTTGTTAACATTTCGCCACATTTGCTTTGTCCTCTCCACTTTTTTCCAGAACCGTTTGAAAGTAACTTACAGAAATCATAATGAATCACATCATGTATCACATAAGGATAAGGACATTCTCCATAACACCATTATCATACCAAGAAATTAATGTTAATTAAATAATATAATTTACTATATAGTCAACATTCACTTTCCTGCTTGGTTCCCCAACCAAGAAATTTGTATTGCTTTTTTGTTTTGTTTTCTGATCAAAGAATTAGTCAAGATTTATCCATTGTATTTTGTAGACATAACTTTTTTATTTCTTTGATCTAGAACAGTCAGTCTCATCTTTGTTTGTTTAGTGGCACTTTTCTTTGAAAAGTTCAGGCCATCAGGGTTGTTGAGTATCTCACATTCTGGATTTTCCTAATTGTTTGTAAGGATTATAAATATTTTTGGCAGGAATGCTATACAGACATACCGTGTTTTATTGTGCTTCACTTTATTGTACTTCACAGATGCTGGTTTTTTTTTTTTTTTTTTTTTAACACATTGAAAGTTTGTGACAACCCTTGTGTAGCAAGTCTGCTGGCACCATTTTTCCAACAGCATGTGCTCCCTTCATGTCTCTGTATCACATTTTGGTAATTCTCACAGTATTTCAAACTTTTTTATAATGCTGTAGCACACTTAGTAGACTATAGTATAATGTAAACATAACTTTTGTATGCACTGGGAAACGAAAAGATTCCTGTGGTTCACTTTACTGCGATGTTCATTTTATTGTGGTGGTCTGGAATAGAACCTACAACACCTCTGAAGTATGCCTGTGTAGGTGGTGTAGTGTGCTTCTTTGCTTTATATTAAGAGGTATATTACTGTATATATAATTTACCGAGTAATATTTACACTTTGTGTTGTTCAATTCTGAGTTTTGATGAATGTATACAGTAATGGAATTACTGTCATCATCAAGATAAAAATGATTCCATCATCCCAGAAGTTTCCAGTGTCCCTTGGTAGTAATCATTTCTCCCTACTCCCAGCTTCTAGCAGCCACTAATCTGTTTTCTATCTCTATCATTTTGTTTTTTTCTAGAGTATCATATAAATTGAATCATCTCATGATTTTTAAATATCTTTGATTTTGATGTATTGGCTTACTTTGAGTTTTTCCTATTTTGGGTTTACTGAACTTGAATTTGTAAATTAAGTCTCTCACCAAATTTTGAGTTTTCAGCCAATATTTCTACAAATATTTTTTCTGCTCCAGTTGCTTTCTTCTCTCTTTTGGACCTTCAGTGACTCATATTTTAGACTCTTTGCTTTGCCCCACATATCTGTGTTCCTTTTTCTTCCCATCTTTTTCTTCTCTGTTCTTCAGTTAAATAATTTATTGATCTGTCTTTAAGTTTACTATTTCTTCTTCCATCTCCATGTTGCTATTGAGCCCACCTAATGAAGTTTTTTTTTAAATTTCTGAAATATTTAAATTGTAAACTTTGCATTTACATAGTTTAATTTTTTTTTTTAAATTTATGAACATTTCTGTCTTTCCACTTTTTTACATTTATCTCATGGAATATAGTTTAAATAGCTTTTTATCTGATTAATTCCAACATCTGGGTTATTTTGAGATTGTTGTCTATTGATTGTCTTTTTTTTGTGTGTGACTTAGTAATATTTTCCTGTTTTTTTTTGTATATATGGCAGTTTTGGGTTGTATTCTAGACCTTATGAATATTATGTTGCATAGTTTATGGGTCTTATCATACTTGAGGAGATATTAATTTTAATTTTTATTTTAAGGCAATCATCTCACTTAGGTTTAAGCCAAAGGTACTTTCTTTCTGTCCTTGGACAGTAGTTCCAATCTTATCTCACTTGAGTTTTCAAAGCCTTTGTGATATTGTGTGGAGTTATCTTGTACGTGTGCAACTTAGGAGTTAGTCTAAGACTTGGGCAATGGTTTAAATCTGAGTTCAGCTCTCAGCCTCTTTGCTATGCTGCGCTAGATGTTTTTCATGCGTATGCCACTTGGGGTTAGTGTGAGCCTTGAGTTTTTAATTCCCTCAGTTCTTTAAGCCTTTGCTCTGCTGCTTTTGATCTGTCTTGTACCTGGGCATTCAGGGTTGAGCCTGAAATTTGTACTGATTCAATCTCAGTGAGATTGAAGATTCATATGAGAGTGAGGGAATCCTTATCTTAGTTACCCAGTACTCCTGTAACAGACATACCACAAGTGGGTAGCTTTAAAGAACAGAAATTTACTTTTTCATGGTTCAGGAGTCCGGAAGTCCAAATTCAGGGCACCGTAGAGGGGCAGACTTTCCACCTTCCCAGTCAGCTCTGGTGGAAGAATGTTGTCTCTTAAAGCTTTTATAGTCTTGGTTTTCCTTAGTTCATTAGTGACGCTTAGGTAGCATCTATTTCCCCACCACTAATCCCTTTGTCTGCAAGTCTGTGCAGTTCCTTTTAACTCAGAAGTTTACCTCTAGGACACACCCTATACTGTTATGGCCTCATTAACATAAAAAAGAAAAACCAATTGGATTAAATTCACAGGTTGTAGAGGTTAGGATTCTAACATATTCTGTGGGGACACAATTCAATCCATAACAATCTTCTTTTTGATTCTCTCTGTTTCAAGATTCTCCCCATACTGTTTGGCTTCTAGGGGGACCCCTTTCCTGGTTTCCCTGACCAGAAAGACATAATTCTTTCAGAATTGTGGCAGCCTTCACCTGTTCCATTCCTCTATGACTAGGCCCCACCCTAGGGCCCAAGAAAAAAGGAAAAACAACAAAAAAGAAATTTACTCCCTTGTGGGTTACTTCTCCATGTTTTCACTCCTCTCTTCAATTCATCTACTCTTGTTTACTTTTCACAGGCTTCAGGTAGAGTTGTTTTTTGTGTTTTGTCTGGCATTTTCAGTTGAGTCAGTAAGAGAAATAGTGTGGTTTTTCTTTTAATATTTTATTGTGCTTTAGGTGAAAGTTGACATGTTGTTGTTGTTGTTGTTTGCCATCGAGTTGGCCCCGACTCATAGTGACCCCTCCTTGGGTTTCCGAGGCAGGAGCACTACAGAAGTAAGAATGCCCAACCTTCCTTCCGAGGAGTGGCTGGTGGGTTTGAACTGCCAGCCTTCTGGTTAGCAGTCA